AACGATTTACGATATGGTTTTCCTATTTTACTGAGTAACTCTGTAATTTTCTTTAAATACAATTCGGTTGTCCTCCACCTGTGTTCTCGTTCACTACAGAGGTAGTAAAAGTATTAGAAGTAGTCGGGGAAATTAGGGTTCGAAGATGTTATTCAAGAAGTATAATTCAGTGAGGTAAATTTAGAGAGAGCAAGATAGAGGCGATGATGATGATTCAGAAGGTTGGAATTTCATATAACACAAAGAGTGAATGCACCTGAGCCATTGCAAATGGTTTTGATCCATGTCACTCAGGGTCTCTAACTATCGGTTATTATCATCTCATGGACCCCAACCAGGTAGTCGACAACTACCGACATGACTCAATCCACTTATCAGTGACTTCATGGATTTGTGCCATGTTTTTGTCTGGCCGCCCCTAGTTTTCTTCCAAGCTATATCGCAAAACATACCTGGACGAGGCAGTCGGTGGTTAGGCATACGTAACACTTGTGCCAACCACCTCAACTGTTGGAGTTCGAATACTTCATCTATTGATCTGTCATCCTTACCTATTACCCGTTTCCTAACGACAGCATTGCCTACTCGGTTGTCCCATGATACACGAGCAATGATGCTTCGAAGACACACCTATGATCGAAAACCAGTAACCTACGAATATCTTCTACACAACATTATACTTAATAAATCTTAGTTTTTACTTGTAGAGTTGATTAAATTTTATGCAACATTCTAATACAATATTACTTAGAAAGATAAATCAACAAACGATAAAGTTGTTGGAGAGAAACACAGAGCACAAAATAATAACAGTCATTACTTCGATATTAAATCCGGCGCTTAAACTGGCTTGGTTGGTTAGTGTGAAGACAAACAACCTTGATTCTAAACCCATGATGCATATGTGAGCTGTGGAGTTCTGAGGCAACTAAGCCAATCGATTGTTCAAATGTGAAAGCAAGTGAATTGACAATATGTATTATGTTAATATCAAGTCTTCTATACATGATAATGTCGATCATCTCTCTTACATTAGGCAAGTATCACAGTTTCTATGAGGTTTTAGTTGTTTTCTTGAATATGAATGTTACTACATTCATGCTGTAGTGTATTTAACTAGTCATTGACTAAATGAGCTCTAGAATCCGATATGAAACTATTGTTAGTTACCGGCTACCATAGGACCTCTTGGTCAAAAGCTCGAGAAGTAATGGTAAGGATGACATATCGAGTGATGAAGTAATGAATCTTCATCAGTTGAGGTGGTTTGGAATATGTATTACTTATGCCCAACCACCAACTGCCTCGATGAGCAATCTTTTGTGGTGTAAGGGTAGGCTAGAAGAAAGCTTGGCGCGTCCAGACCAAAACATGACACAAATCCATGAAGTCATTGACTAGTAGACTGAGCTATGTTGGTAGATGTAGACTACCTGGTTGCCAGATGATAGTAACCGATGGTTAGAAACTTTGAATGACATGCCTGAAAATCGTTTGCAATGGCGCAGATGCATCCATTCTTTGTGTCCTATCAAATTCTAATCTTCTGAATTCCTCATACTATTATTTTAAAATTGATTTCACTGGGATATACTTGTCGAATCACATTTTCGACCCACTAATACTGCTACAACATCTATTACTATGCGATTTGAGTTGACACTTCAATCTGTCTGTGTGCTATGGTAGTATGGCAACTTGAATTGACATTCGTACTACGTACGAAGTTCTACGTTGTAGAGCTAGCTGACTAAATGACTGACTGTAGGAGGAATTCTCTATGACAATGATAGTCTATTTATACGCATAGCCATCATAATGAAGAAATAATTTCGAAAAATGTATTTAGTTAGTCAGATTGTGCCTACTCACCATTCTCTGTTGTCTAGTGAAACCAATAGAGAGATATTCGGGTGGATTGTTTGAAATAAACAACCCTTAACATTTGTTCTTTATATATATTTGAAATCATCAATCAATCATTGTGGTTAGACCAACATTAGGGGAACCTGGAAGCACTGAAAGACGGCTGTTTCGTCCTGGTGTATGGGACTACTCATCATCTGTGCGCATCCATGACTCCTTCGCCCCGCAGGATTCGAACCCGGAACCTTCGGTATTGTGCGCGAACGCCTAACCATCAAACCACTGGACCGGCGGTATCCAACGGTGTTAATCTCTTACTCTGATTGATCTAGGGATTTTGCGCGATCTCACCCATTTGTCTTTTTTGTTAGTTACTGCCTACACATAACCGACAGGGTTGAACTCCTCCATTGGTCACATCTTCTCTCACTAGAACTCCGAGAATTTCCTCACGAAGCTAGCTAGCTAGTCACTAAGTGAGCACTGTTACGTGGATGCGCACTGCCACTGATGAGTAGTCCCATACACTAGGACGAAACAGCCGTCTTTCAGTGCTTCCAGGTTCCCCTAATGATGGTCTAACCACAATGATTGATTGATGATTTCAATTGTGTTGTAAAAAAAGAATACAAATCTCCAAAGCTTTCACTGGAAATTCGTACTTTAGTCTATCCTCTTTTCTTACAGTCAAACGCAGAATTGTTGTATTGAAAAGAATAAATAAACAGATAGATAGATAGATAGATTGATTGATTGGTTGATCTGTCTATCTTGTTAAATGTACCGTTCGTTTATTTTATTTACTTGTATCTGTATGTATTTGTGTATAAACAATTTTGCTTGCCAAACAAAAAAAGAAGGAGAACACAGCACAAATTGAACAATTTAACACTTGAATCATAAAATTTTCAAGAAAATACTAATACATGAGTGTGTGTGTGTGTATATATATGAAGTAATAAAAAAAGGAGTATCTGCATATACATATCTGTATATATATTCTCATTGATAGCTAGCTTTTCATTGTCTAGTCAACATGATGAACACACATATTGATTATATTTTACTTTTGAAAATGATCAGTGGTTATCCAGTGTGTGTGTGTGCGTGTGAGTAAAAGAAAGCATACACACTGACTGTATTCATCTCGTTCTGGTTCTCGCTCTCTGGCTCTCTCTCTCTGTCTCTCTCTCTCTCTCTCACACACACTAGTGTATACATATATTTGTAGATAAGTATACTGAACATTGGTTTCTTTCTTTCAAAAACCATTTCTCACTGCTTCTATCTGTGATCTGTAATGATTGTTTATGACTTGAGAATTGTAAATAACCGAAACAGAAAAACATTAAAACAACAACAACCGCACAGTCAGTGTATGTTTGTTTATGTAATAATAGAGCGAGCGAGCGAGCAAGCGAGCTATAGAGAGAGAGAGAGAGTGAGAAAGAGACGACAATAGACAGATGATGATGATGATGATGATGATTTCATAAGGGTTGATTGTTTTTTATTTAATCGTGTGTATAGTATACAACACATTAGATTCCAGCTGTTCAGTCTTATTTTTGGCATATATATATATATATATATATATATATATACGTATTGAATCGTTATTTTGATTCACTCAATAAATGAGATTATCATTTTCTCAAATTTTATTGACAATTGTCTTTAAAATCGTGTTCTTATTGTTCTGCTTCTTGTTTTAGACTTTGAGATCTCTAATTTTTTGTGATTATTATTATTATTATTATTATGAATATTACTGGCAATGATAACAATAATAATAGTAATAATCTTGTCACTGTTATTGATGTTGACAGTAGCACTAATACTGGCAGCATGTTACGCTTGCACGTAAACACGTCAACTTGATATACTTGAACTATTTTACGAGTTTACCTAGTAGTCGGAAAACGAGAGCGAGGATCCGGTGACATGACATACTACTCATCAAATCCGATTATTCCAACTTCCATATTTAGTAAAAATAAGAAAACGTGATATGAAGTAGAACCTGTATTCTACAAGCATCCAGAAAGTACGAGGTCCGAATTCAGAAGAGAATCAGTATCCCTGATTACGGATCCGGGTCCCGGTCGTGGTCATAAAACGTTACAGATAATGCGTATTTATACATTTTGGTCGAATAGGAAACAACATTGAAGTCTGTGACATTGACCAGTTAAGACGATCAATAGGAAGCAACATTTGAAGTGACATTGATAGTCAGGACAACCAATAAGAAACAACATTGAAGTATTTGACTTTGACAGTTATAACGACCAAAATTTTGACCAATAATTCTCTTAGGATACTGGATGAATATCCTAACAAACCTGTAATAAATTTTACAAACCTAATGATCAAGTAGTCAGTCAATCAGTCAGTCAGTCAACTACTACAACGTAGAACTTTGTACGTAGGTACATACATCAGTTCAAGTTTACTGTATACCAACCACCACGTTAGCACGAAGACACAATAGTCAATTCAAATCCAACAGTGGTAATAGAAGTAATAGAAGTATTAGCGGTAATGGGCAGAAGATTAGGATTTCAAGAAGTATCGGAGGAATTCAGTAGATTACAATTTGATTCATTTGCGCCATTGCAAACGATTTTGAGCCATGTCATCCAAGATCTCTAACGTCTCGCGGACCCTAACCAGGTAGTAAGTAGTCTATACTTACCAAACATGGCTCAGTACACTTGCTAGTGACTTTTCATGTATTTGTGGCATGTTTTGATTTGGCCGCCCTTAGCTTACTTCCAACCTACTTCTACACCACAAAGGCATTGCTCATCGAGGCAGTCGATGGTTGGGCATACGTAACACATGTCCTAACCACCATTGTCGAGGTATGACTTACTATGGTTTCTATATCATCAAAAATTTTTTATACCAGTACTAAATTAGTTATTTGATTATACTGTGTTCTCAGTTGTTTTTGTATGTGTTCAACTACATACGTGGTTCTGATCAAGTAAGTAGTACGTACGTACGTACGTTCGTACGAAGTTCTACGTTGTAGCTGACTGGTCATCATTTGAAATTTTAAAACCATAGTTAGTTTTAATTAAAATCGATAATAACTTTACTATTTCTATTTTTTTTTATTTATTCAGCTGTTCAATCAGTCAAAAACATTTTGGATAATCATGGTTTTCGTGAATTACTTGAAGAAGATACTTGGAGTTTACGACCTTTAGACAAAGTATATATAACAAAAAATGAATCAACAATCATTGCAGCCGCCGTCGGTGGTCGATTTCAATCGGGCAATGGTTTCACTTTACTTGGAGCTCATACAGACAGTCCATGTTTACGTTTAAAACCAAATTCGGAACGTTTAAAAGAAGGTTATATACAATTGGGTGTGGAAACTTACGGTGGTGGTCTTTGGTATACATGGTTTGATAGAGATTTAAAGTTGGCTGGTCGTGTTATTATTCGTAATGCTGAGGGGTGTTTAGAACAACGTTTAGTGCATATCAATAGCCCCATAGCTTGTGTACCCAGTTTAGCAATACATCTTAATCAAGAAGTGAAAACTCAAGGTTTTCATCCAAACTCTGAACGACATCTATCACCGATCTTGTGTACTAGTTTAATGGAACAAGTTAGTTTTTTATCTATTTGTTTGTAATTGTTGATCGTCTTATTCAGTTGGTTACGCCTGTTACCCCTTAATGAAGTATAGGCCGCATAGACTAGCATTCTCCAACCTACTCTGTTCTGGCGATCTCCTTTCTAATTGTTTCCCAGCCGACACTTTGTGACTTCCGAAGAAAGTTGGCTTTCATCACGAGGCTGCGTAACTCTTCTCTCTCTCTATATATATATGTGAAGACTCTCCAACTCACAGAGTAGAGTTTAAGTGGTTTGAATTATTATTATTTTTCTGGTTAGCGCATTTTTTTTAATCGAGTTGATTTTCTGTGGAATATGGTCGTTGACCCCATGCCCAAACCTCCTTATTTATTCTAACTTGGGATTGGCAGTAAGTAGTAACCTAAGAAGGGGACTCCAGGCAGAGTTGATATAATCTAAGAATGCTGTATTCATTAAATTTATATAACAGGAGGTGACAGCTTTCCTTGTGACGATACAGTTGTGTGCTTTCCTTAATATGTGTGTTCTATCCACCTTCAACGCTTCTTCCTGATTTTCTCCTCTATTGGAATCTGATTTGTTATATCCAACAGTCGGTTGTTATTCATGGTTTCTGGTTAACAGATTCTCAATATCACAGTTCTCCAACTATCCGCTCCATACAATAAAACCGTTTTAACATTCATATTGAAAATTATGACTTTGGTGTAGATTGAGATTTGTTTTAAGTTCCAGATGTTATTCATTTGTAGAAATACTGCTCTTGCTTTGCCGTTCCGCGCCTTCATATATGTAATCAGAAGTATGTTGTCCAAATACGTAAATGTTTCTACATCCCCTAAGCTTCTTTCTTCATCAAGTGTGTTTTGGTTGTTACACATGTTGTGTTGTAGTATCGGAGGACCTTACTTCTTGCCTTCCTTGTGTATATGTTGAAGCCTACTGCTACAGAGGCTACTGTTACATTGGCCACCCTCTGCATTTGACGTTGCCTGTAGAATTGAAGAGCTAGATCATCTGCACAGTCCAAATTGTCTAGATGTGCATCCCAGGTGTCCACGGTGTCCCGTCATATAATATGAAATACTGGATAATGTAAAATAGATTGCCTATCGTATCAAGTGTACAGTTATTTACGTTAGTACCAAGGTAGTACTCAAGGTCTGAGGGCGAAGTCGTACTGCTGACTGTAGAGAGGTGTAGTGACAGCAGTAAGGTGTTTCCCTCGGACAACAACCAGCATCTGAAGCGATACTGCCTTCTCACAAAGAAGGAAGGGCTTGAAAAGTTCGACCCCAAAAAATGTCACACCTCACCCTACCTCATGGATTTCCGTCTCCGTCGGTAAGGGTGCCCACTAAGGGCTTTTAATAAGAGCGGAGCTAATACTCAAAAAATCCTTCATAAAAAGGCCGTGCGTGAGTGACCGACCTCAAGCAGTTGTCCCTTGGGCTTTGCAGTCACGCTTCAAGGTCGTTAAGACCAACACACCAATCTATCTTCCTTTTCAGGTTCCTCAAGAAACAACCTTCCACGGTGTGGCCAACCGGGAAGTGACAACCGCCCTCATACCCGTAACAGCAGCACACGAGACCAAATTGGTCAACATCTATACATTGATTTATCCAACAAACACTTAAAAATACTGGTACAAAGACTAACAGAAAAATATGTATTCTCTATACACACAAATCACTAAATTAGTGTCCAAGTTAAAATTTAGTGCTTGTGAGGCCAAACCCTTGGAGTATAAGTAGTAGTCATTGATTTGATTACGGAGGAGGGGAGGTCATATCAACGTACGTTATCGATCGAATGTTAGTTTGTATTATATAAATTAGGAGAGAAAAATATGAATTTCAAATAAGTTGAAGATGAATTATTAATTAATAATTATTATTATTATTGTCCTTTAATCGAAATGATGAATCAATCACTCATTGGCAAAGACATGTGTTACGTATGGCTAACCACCGACTACTGCCTCGACGAGCTATGTTTTGTGGTGTAGGAGTAGATTGGAAGAAAGCTAGGGACGGCCAAATCAAAACATGGCAGAAATCTATGAAGTCACTGACAAGTGGACTGAGTCATGTTGGTAGATGTAGACTACCACCTGGTTGGGGTCCGCGAGACGAAAGTCACCAATGGTTAGAGACCTTGAACAACGACATGTCTTAGAATCGTTTGCAATGGCGCAGGTGCATCCATTCTTTGAGCTCTCTCAAATCCTAATCTTCTGGATTCGTCAGCACTTCTACCTTTGTCTTTCTAACCTTATCTCACTGAATTATACTTCTTGAATAATATCTTCGAACCCTAGTCTTCTTCACTACCATTAATACCTCTACTATCTTTATCACTATGGGATTTGATTTGACATTTGCGTCTGTATGGTGATGTGGTATGGCAACATGAACTTATGTACATACGTACGTAGTTCTACGTTGCAACTGTCTGTCTGTCTGCTCATTGACAAACTACCACTAGAAACCTGGAAGCACCGGGTTCCCTGCTCGCGGGAATCAGACGTTAGGACCTTTCGTCGCAAGCGCGCAAACACTTCACCTCTAGATCATTGTGCCGGCATCTAGCGGCGTTAATGTCTAATTCTGATTAATCCTAGGTATAGCTCGACTTTATCATTTTGATGAAACTCAACTTTTTTTCACAACTGTACAGTGAAACTATTTCAGTGTCATTATTCGGATTGTGGGTGGCAATTGTTAAGTTTCATTGAAATCATGAACTGGTAAATGTTAGATCACCATTGGAAGCCTAGCAGACCAGCAGCCGGCGTCCATTGGTGTTAATCTCTAGCTTCAACCAAATCCACGGTTGAATTCCTCTAGAAATACGAGAATTTTTCCCTTTCTCACAAAACTAGTCACCAGTGAGCAAATCTACTGAAAATCGATTAAAAAAATATATAGGAAACTACTAAAAATTTGGAAAAGGAAATTTATGTTTTTAAATCCTCCTATTTGATAGTAAATTTGTATTTTTCCTTTTGTATACAGCTTCATAATCCATCCATTCCAAATGTCAATACTGCTACTAGTACTAATACTACTACTAATACTACTGTTAATACTACTACTAATACCACTACTACTGGCTGTGTAAATGATTCCACTAATCCATGCTTTAATCATAATAATGGATGTCCTATATCATTGTCAACTACACATCGTCATCCGCCTGGTTTATTACGTTTATTAAGTGAAGAGATTGGTGTTAGTCAAGAACAGATTATTGAATTAGAATTGTGTTTTGCCGATGCACAACCAGCGACTATTGGTGGTTTATACAAAGAATTTATACATGCACCACGATTGGATAATTTATTCAATTCATACGCCGGTTTACATGGTTTCATTGAATCGTTGCCAAATTTACCAGCGGAATCTAATCTACGCTTACTATGTTTATATGATCATGAAGAAGTTGGCTCAACATCAACACATGGTGCAAATTCAAGTTATACATTGTCAATTATCCGACGTCTTAATAAAGCATTCAATGAAATGATGATGAGTAGTAGTAGTAGTAGTGATTCACCGGAATTATTGACGACAGCCTTGAACACCACGACGACCACCACCAGTAACGATCATTCATCATGTGTAAAATGTCATTTAGATTTAAATTTTGAAAAATCCTTAGCTAAATCATTTCTATTATCAGCTGATCAAGCGCACGCTATTCATCCAGCATGGAATGAACGTTATGAATGTTATCATAAACCACAATTACATCATGGTCTTGTATTAAAATATAATGTGACACAACGTTATGCAACGAATGGTATTACAGCGGCGGTGGTTCGTCAAATTGCTCAATTGTCTAATGTTCCTGTGCAGGTTTGTATTGTGTGTTGTGTGTTGTATTCTTCAGTTATTGTCATTTAGATCTAAAATTGCTATTGATCAGATAGTTGTTTTGGGGGGTATGCGTTTATGCATCCTGTATGGATTGCCTAGATTATTAGCTGTTGAATATTACATGAGTGTTATTCCCTTAGTCAGTCAGTCAGTCAGTCTGTCTGCTACAACGTATAACGTCGTATATGTACGTACATGTTAGTTCAAGTTGTCATACAACATTAGCAAACAGAAATTGAATTGTCAATTCAAATCTCATAGTAGTAGAGGTAGTAGAAGCATTTAAGGGGTGTAATCAAAAAGATTAGGGATCGAAGATATCATTCGGTTGTCTCATGATACAGGAGCAATGCTTCCTAAACATCTATGATCGAATACTAGTAACCTATGAACATCTTCTACTCTTAACGGCCATGTTTCACAGCCATATAGGAGAACGGAGTGAACTGCTGCACAGTACACCCGTCCTTTGGTTAGCGAACGGATATCTCGCCTACGCCATAAATGGCGTAAATTGGCAAAAGCAAATCGAGCATTCTGTATCCGAGCTGAGATTTCGTCAGTCATCAAGCCATCAGCACTGATGAGACTCCCTAGATAAGTGAAGTGATCAACACGCTCGACTTCTTCACTCCCTGTCACTAGTTCAGGTGCCAATGCAACCCAATCTTGAAGCAACATTTTGCCTTTCAAGGGTGAGAACCGCATCCCGAACATGCTTGCTTGCATTGTTGCTTATGTTAGTCAAAAGACTCTGCATTTTGTCAGCGTCTTCACCGAATAGAAAGAACTATGTCATCGGCATATTCTATTCTATTCCCTATCCTTTCGAATCCTCACTGTCCCGTTTAGTCGGATAGCGCACAATTGACTATCTACTGGGATCCTTCCTGTCTAAGAGAGCCAGTTCTGCTCTAAGACTCAATGCTATACATACACCGGCGAGGCATCGTGAAGCAGCATCAGGACTTCCAGATACACGAAGGGAGGAAAGAAACAATCATGAAGAATTTAGATGATTAGAATTTGAGAAAAGACAAACGATTTTGAGCCATGTCATTCAAGGTCTCTAACGATTGGTGTCTATCATCTCGCGGACTTCAACCAGGTAATTAGTGTACGTACACCTTACCAATATATGACTTAGTCTAGTTGTCATTGACTTCATGGATTTGTGTCATGTTTTGTGTTTTTGGTCGCACCTACATCATCAGACATCATTACTCGTCGAGACAGTTGGTGTGGTTGGGCATAATACGTAACACATATTCCATCCTCCTCTTCAAATGATGAAGTTTCACTACTTCATCTATTGATCTGCCATTCTTACCTAGCACCCGTTTCCTGATAACAGCGTTGCTCACTTGGGTGTCCCACGATATACGAGCATAGCTTCGAAGACATCTATGATCGAATACTAGTAACCTACGAATATCTTCCACTCTCATTGGCCATGTTTCACAGCCATAAAGTAAGACGGAGCGAACTACTGCGCAGTACACTCGTCCTTTAGTCAGCGAGCGGATATCACGCCTACGCCATAAGTGACGCAGGTTAGCAAAAGCCAATCGAGCTTTCTGTATCCGCGCTAAGATTTCGTCAGTCACCAGGCCGTCAGCTCTGATGAGACTCCCCAAATAAGTGAAGCGATCAACACGTTCGACTACTTCATTCCCTATCAATTGTCTACTAGTATAAATAGAGTTGTGAAGGTTGTTGAGTTACTGTGAATCAGTGCTCATTGAAGACAATCGATTAATCGTAGTTAGACAATAACGTCGTTAGATGTCAACTCAGTAGTTCAGAGGTTAAACGTTTGCGCACAAGACTCGAAGGTCTTGGGTCCGTATCCTACAAATAGCCGGAGTAATATAGAGCGCTCTGCTGATGAGGAGTCCATTACCAGGATGAAATGGCCGTCTCTTTCATTGTTTCTATTGGATAGTCTAACATTAATTAATTCATGGTTGATTTCAATGTATTTTTACATTGTATCACAACTTCACAGATTACTTCTTTTTATTATTATTATTATTATTTATATTTTTTTTTATTAGGAATTTGTTGTAAGACAAGATATGCATTGTGGTTCCACTATAGGACCATTATTATCATCTCAATTAGGTGTACCTACAGTGGATGTAGGATTTCCTCAGCTAGCTATGCATTCATGTAGAGAATTATGCTGTTCATCAAGTGTTGAACAAGCTGTACGTTTTTATGCATCCTATTATGAACATTTATCAAAAATTTGGTATAATCCATCATCATTATCGTCTTGTAATCGATTGAAACAATCACAGCAACAGCAACATCAACAACCTCAACAACATCAACACCAAGAAATTCCTATGGATAGTTAATAATTGATGATGATGATGATGATGATGAAGTGAATTGAGCTGCTATTTTTTCTTAAAAAAAAAAATAAGCAAACAGAACCTAAGAGATGTTTGTCTTTACTTGTCTTTGCAAATAAAAATCCATTTCTTTCTCTTTTAAAAAATAAACGCACAGCTATATATCAATTCATATGTCTAACTATACTTATCGTCCTTTTTTTTTTATACAAACTGTCTGTCTTTTTTTCTTTTTTGTTGATAAATTGAAAAAAAAGATTTTTTTAATATTTTGTCTTGGTTTTTCTCATCTTTCTTTTTTTTGTCACCTTTATTCCTACTACCTACAAGTTGTAATTTTTTTTTTTTTGGGGGGGGGGTCATCTTGTTTATACTGTGTACTTGTTTATTAAGCTTCTCGATGGTTTGATATAGAGTTTTCATTTTTCACTGGGTATTATTTCTTTTTATCGCATTCATTCAAACTTTATGAAGGTTAATTGAAATAGACCTTGAATAATGACTTATTTACTTACATACATGTTTTAATGTGTGCAGTATGGCGACATCTGATATGACACACATACGAAATGGCTCCTTTTTTTGAGAATGCAATAGGCGAATAATATATATATATATACATGAATACTCACTCATTTATATGTGTACACATTCACTCATTCATTCATTCATTGCCCTTAGGAAATAAATCCATTTATTGACCAATCATATGCATTCGTCCATTCGGACATTTCCAATTGGTCGCCGAGTGACCTTGCCATTCCACTACTTCTGATTGGCCTTTCTATACATGACTAAAATTTGTTTTACGTATTGTCTGTTTTTTCTTGTTTGTTTTTTATCGTTCTCATTTAAGAGTTTTCAATTTGTTAATTCACTACTAACTGGTATGGATATATATATGCATGCACACAAGATATTGACATTTACTTTGAGAAAAAATTTTCCCAAATATGTATTTTTTTGTTTTAAAATAACAAATTTGGAACATTGTGTTCAATAATAGTTCATCATTTCAATTGTCTTCATTTATCTGTATTGAATATTATTTATTTGCTTGCTAGGTTCAACATTCTGTGTACATTTTTGAAAAAAATTGTTTTGTTTTGTTTTTTCGAATAAAAAACACTCATTTTTGTGTATGTAAATGTAATACTGAATGAATAAATAAATAAGTTTAAAAAAATTTTCCCGCTTCTATTTTTTGTTTTAATGCAATGCATTGATTCCGTTAGTTAGTTGGTTGGTTATCGCTGTTCATTTTAACGCTAGAAGTTATCATGCAAGTCTCATCACTACTGATGGCTTGATGTGTCTGACGTAATCTTAGCATGAGTACTGAAGGCTCGATTAGCTTTTGCCAAGTTATATCACATACAATATAGGTGGGATATATGTCTACGGATCAAAGGACGAGTCTATTGTGCATCAGTTCGCTTCGTCCTACTCTATGGGTATGAAACATGGCTAGTAATAGTAGAGGATATTCATAGGTTACTGGTATTCGGTCATAGTTACCTTTGAAGCATCGGTTGTATATCATGGGACAACCGAGTAAGTTGTTAGGAAACCGGTACTATAGGTAAGGATGGCAAATCAATAGATGGAGTAGTGAAACTTCATCAGTTGAAGTGGTCGGGACATGTGTTACAAATGCCCTACCACCGACTGCCTCGTCGAGCTATGTTTTCCAGTGTCGAAGTAGGTTGTAAGGAAGCTAGGGGCGGTCAAACCAAAACATGGCAGAAATCCATGAAGTCACTGACATGTGGACTGAGACATGTTGATAGGTGTATATTACCTGGTTGGGTACTGCAAGACAATCGTAACCACTTGGTTAGAGACTTTGATTGGCATAGCTCGAAATCATGAGCTCAGGAATTTTTCTTATCTCTCTGTAAATTGATTTTACTGGAATATTCTTCTTGAATAATATCTTCGAATCCTAATCTTTTCGTTTTAATGCTCATACTTCTACTACTTCTACTTCAATGGGATTTGAATTAACAATTGCATCTCTCTGTTCGCTAATGTGGTATGGTAACTTCAAATGTTGTACATACATAACGAAGTTCTACATTGTAATTGATTGATTGACTGACTGACTTGTCATTTGAATGATTTAGAAAATAATTAATTCATTTTAAGTACGGATGTGGTGCGAGCTACTTATAAGTAGTATATGATGTGAGTGTCAACGTAATGTCTGGCAGCAGAAGATGGGGGAAGATCAAGAAAGGAAGAGTGGGGGGAACACAATGGAATTTGTATGAAACGCATGAATAGTAGTGACAATGGATTGATGTTGTTTGCAACAGGAACAGTCCAGTTCGATATGATGAACTGATATTTTGCAAATGAACGATTTACGATATGGTTTTCCTATTTTACTGAGTAACTGTGTAATTCTCGTTAAATACAATTCGGTTGCCCCACCTGTGTTCTCATTCACTACACGGATTCTAATATACGCGTCTGTTTCTTTATATCCAAACTACTGTTCTGCCCTAGCTCATATGTTTATTGTTGTTTCAAGTTGTTACAACATCACATCAGTGCATCTATACACCAGAGTAGTAAGTGATGATAATAATAGTCGAGAAGACTGACTCAATAGAAACGATATAATTCGAAAAGAAAGGATTGGTGGAAATAAAAGATGATTTTGAAATTAAGGATTTTAAAATATGAATATATGAATATCTCATATACTTTTTTCAAAGTCTTGTTTCATATAAATAGAGTGAACTATTGAACAGTATGCTTATCGTTTAGTTGGACATCTTGCCAACACAATAGATGATCGAAGTTGTGCCAGGAGTTCTTCAAACATCAACATACCACAAGGCATTGATGTTTAAAGCAACTGGAATTCCATTTATACTTTGTCATCTTCATTTGAAATCATCAATCATTCATTGTTGGACCACTATTAGAAACCTGGAAGCACTGGACGGCCGTTTCGTCCTAGTATGGGACTCCTCAGCAGTGCGCATCCACCTCCAAAACTGTGCCCCAAAATTTGTCATCTTCGCCAAACAGGACTGACTATATTATCTGCGTATTCAAAGTCAACAATTCATAAGGAAGAATTCCTGTTTAAGTGTATATACAAATTAAGAAAACGGACAACTCAGATGAACACCGTTTTGAATCATTGTTTCCAATGACATTTCTTTACAAGTTCTGACTTGATCACTTGAGTAGTGTGTGTACAAGAATGGTGTACTTGATTGGTATGTTCTTCATTGTCAGATATTTTTTCATAGAACCTTTGGGTTTACGGAGTTATATGCTAAGTTAGTCAGTTTCAATGTGGTACTTTGTAAGTCAGTTGAAGCGGCCACATCACATTAACACAGAGCTATTGAATTATGAATTCAAATCCCATAGTAGTAATAGGAGTAGTAGAAAGTATTTATGATAATTGAAAAGATAAGTAGTGATTGAAGATATAATTCGAGAAGTATATATACCAGTGGAGTAAAACGCTGGCTTTAAATTAATAAGTTTAATTTGCCAGAAGTCGGTAGTTATGTTTATGTTTCAAAACTTGACGTACGTTGAATATTAATTATACCTACATGGGGGATTATACTAAATTTTATTTTACCAAATGGGTCGCTAACTGCATAGCCAACCCTTCTCCTTCATCTGAGTTTGGTACTGGCAGCGAGCCCATAAGGGGCTCCAGGCGGCGGAGTAAACATGAAAATACATTCATTCTGTGTTAGTTATATTTCAATTCATCTACTATTTTGCTAGCGTAGCATACAAACTTGCTGAAAAAAACGCTCACCAGATGAAAACGTTGCAAGAAAAAACGAAGTGTGAGGTAACTAACTATACGATAGAACAAGACAGCTTGCCGATCCGTTGACCAAACACCTTCAGCAGCCTACTGTTGTAAAGAACAGACCAGATTTTAGGTAAGGAAGAAATGCGAGCAAAAAGGCTGTAAGTGGTGGATAAAACACACATTACCGAAATCACCCAACTGCATTACGATGTAAGCTTTACATTGGGATCCTTAAGGTCCGAAGAGAAATAGGGTGACTAAAGAACACACATTGCGCAGAGAAAAATCTCAAACAGACATGAAGCGAATGAACACCGATCGGGTAGGCCCAGTACAAAGTCTACACTCTATACAGTAAGTATATCAAGCTTAAGGAAGTAAATATTTAGATTGCGTAAAAAGTTAATTAACCCCCCTGGAGCCTCTCTGTGGCTACTACCGGTCCGATGCGACCCCAACCCACAAAAAACTAACTCTAAAAAAACGCTAATCAGAACAAACAATTCAAACCATTTTAACTCTGCCCTGGTAGTTGAAAAAATTTTTATGACTTCTCATGATGAAAGCACAGTTCCCTTTGGAAGTCACAAGGCCGATACCGCTTCTGACAACTAGAGCAGCCATTATTTTAGGTACATGGAACTTTTCAACATTGTGGGAAGACTGTAAAAGACTATTTCATGTAATGAAAAAAATAATACTAATCATTGTGGTTGTGTTTCGTTCTCTGAGCTGGTTGTTTTGGTTGTGAAGCTTTCATTGTTCTTCTTCTGAACAACGAACATCATCAGCACAAACTTCAGATAGGCGAAGTGAAGCATTCGAATTTCTCCACGTGTATGACCTGTAGCTTGTTCTGCTAACCTCGATCTTGATTGGTTGCTGTTGACCTTTGACTTGTCGTTGTTTAAAACTTTGTTTTGATTGTATCCCCCCTTTTGATCTGTTTCTTGATCCTGTGTCACCTATGATTTTGCTGATTGGTTGATAACTTGGGTCAATGTCGATGTGTTGATGTTGATTTCTGATTGACCTGGGTGATCAGCTTCTCAAAATTCTCTAGTGTTCTTTGTCCTCCCCCTATTCAGTATTTCCACATTGTTCCAATCAAATGTGTGTCCATAATTGTCGGTGTGTATTGATATAAACGGAGCTGAAGAGATCGTCCACTTTGTCCTATGTAGTGTTTTTCACAGTTTGAGCAATTTATTTTGTAGATGATATTTGGTTTTTCTTCCTTTGTCAATTCCATTCTTTGGTCTACAGGTCAAACGTGAAGAAATTCGAATGCTTCACTTCGCCTATCTGAAGTTTGTGCTACTGATGATGTTCATTGTTCAGAAGAAGAACAATGAAAGCTCCACAACCAAACTACATCCAGCTCAGAGAACCAAACACCACCACCACCACAATCATCCATCTGAGCTACAAGTTTTCTCCACCATCTCAATTACTAATCATTCCAATGTTAAACTTTCAAGTTTAATAATATTAAACATCATTACATTGCAGGGTTGTTGTGAAGATTGTTAAGTTTTATTTGTAACCATGAATCGATCAACAACCCCGCAATGCAATTACTTACATGTGTCCACTAGTGACGACTAGCTTGGTGAGGAATCTTCTCCGAGTTCTAGTGGTGGGAAGTCGTGACCAGTGAAGTTCAAACCTGTTCGGATGTATACAGGGTATGAAGTTGCGCAACTCCGTGAATTTGATCGAGTTAGACATTAACACCGTTAGATACCAGCTGAGTGGTCTATCGGTCAGGACGTTCGCGCACAATACCGAAGGTCCTGGGTTCGAATCCTGCGAGGAGCAGGAGTTGTGGATGCGCACTGCCACTGATGAGTAGTCCCATACCAGGACGAAACGGCCGTCTTTCAGTGCTTCCAGGTTTCTAATGGTGGTAGTCTAACATTGATCGATTCATGGTTACAAAAAAAAGATAAACATAATTACTTGAAAGAAATGATAATTAGATTGAAATTGATTTCTTCAATCGGATGATTGAATGAATGACTTATATAAATTGTAACATTAGTACATAAACACTTCCTTAATTATCGTATAAAAAAAATAGACAATAACAATAGGAACAACTAAAAACAAATGCAATTTACTTATGTACACATACATACGTACATACATAAAGTTTGAGAAAAGATTTTTTATTGAATTCAAAAAATGTATCCTTAGTGAATGTTTAATTTGAAATACTTCTTTTAAACTGTCTTTTGTTTTAATTTATTCTTGTTCTAAATACATAAATAGGTAAATAGAT